GCAATGAGAGCAGCACCTCATTGCTGATGATGGAGAAGGGTAAGAGTAAGACGGCCCCCAGGGCGACTGCCAGGGTAAAGGTGCACAGCTCCAGCCTAAGAAGGGAAGAGGACGGGTCGGCCCAGCACTCACCGCCCTGCTGCCCTAGAAGGCCCATTTCCCCCAAGGGCATCCATGGCTTCTAGAACCAGCCAGGGCAATGGGAAGGAGCTATCCAGCTGGGCTCTGCCCACTGCTATCCCACCCTAGTCCTCACCTCCAGGGCAGCCTTGGCACCCGGGATGGATGCCAACTCAGGCATCCATGGGCACCTGATCACCGGCCATGTCGCTTGTTTAGCCTATCCTGGGAATGTGATCTTCCCATACGAGTCCACAGGGCATGCCAGGAATGCTCACAGAGCCAGGGGCTGGCCCCTCCTCTGCTCAGGGATACAGATTTCTGAGCTTGCCTCTTTCCCTACGGCTAAGAGCTCAGTCCCTCCATATGGCGATGCCGTTTAAGAAGGCATTAGTGCAGAGGATAAAGACAAGCTAAAACCCAACTTCACAAGCAAGGCCTGTGCCATGGGCTACACCAGCCGGAAACAAATTCAAAAGGAGAGTGCTGCCTTCTAGTCTGTCAAGGCAGAGGGCGTCTCCACATTTCCTCTGTATGTGCTGCTAGTGAATAACAACTGTCCATAGGAGGCTGGAGACATGGCTCAGTGGTTAATTCCCAGCAACACACGGCAGCTCACAGCTGTGACAGTTCCAGGGGACTTCACACCCATGGCAAAACACCAATGCATATAAAATAAATACAAATAAGATTTAAAAAAATGTCCATAATAAGGGTCTTCCTCTAAGAACCAAGCATTTTTTGCCCTCAGGGTGTGTGTGTGTGTGTGTGTGTGTGTGTGTGTGTGTGTTTTGGGAAAGTGGGCGTTTGAGACAGGGTTTCCCTGATCCCTCAGGGGTTTTTTGATCTTCACCAAACCCTGTCCTGTTTCCTTAGCCTGTCTCCCCCTTCCATTCCCCACCCACACTGACTGCTGGGAAGTGAGGCCAAGCTGAAGCCATTTCTTGGTGACTCAGGCAGGTCCCAGCCAACATCCTGATCATGAAGCTCCTGGCCCAACCAGGGAGACAGGAACAGCAGCTTTTCTGAGCATCCCCAGCATAGGGCAATGCCGGAAGAAGTCAGAGACAGGGTGGCAGTAGGAACTCTTTCTCTCTTGGGCAGATGACAGCTTCTCCCGCTGCCCTAGAGGACTTTCTAGATCCCAGCGGTTAAGTCACTGGACTGGGGGGTTGAGGGAGCGACACTCACGCGATCTTGTTAACGGTGGCATCTTCATCATCCACTGCAAGAGACAGACAGGAAGGGGCTCAGCAGGACAGCAGCGGGCAGTTCTGGCAGTCAGATGCATCGTAACGTGTCCCCTGTCCCCACCATTGACGACAGTGCTGAAGAAGAGGCTCTGGGGGATCTTACATTATAAACCTCACCCTGTTCTCCAACCAAGGCGGCAGTTTAATCATCAGTGGTCCTAGGTACACAGAATATAAGCCCCAAAGTCCCCTCCTCCTCCCTCTCCTCCCCCCCTTCACTGTCACCACAGGTTCCTCTTTAGAGAGGCTCAGACTGCAGTCTGTGAGGTTGTTCACATCAGGGGCTGGGTGAGGGGAAGAGGGGATTCACAGAGAAAAGTCCCCGAGGGGCAGCACTACTGGAGACAACTTGCTGAGTGTGTTTCTCCAGCCCCACTGAGATCTATGGGACCCAAAGCCACACTCGGAGAAAACTCAGCCTCTCCACAAAGAGAAAGATGAACGTTGCCAACCCTCGGGAGGTGCCAGGTGCAGTGGGAAAGCACTAGGAAAGAAGATGGCACAAAGCAAGTGCCCCTGACACTCAGCCGGCGGCTGCCCACTTCAGGGTCGCAAACGGCTCTCATTTGGTCCTCCCAGTGACAAAGTACTAGGTGGACTTAATTATGCCCATTTTGTAGGGTGAAACTGAGGATTAGAAAAGCTACATGGATGCTGGCCAGTGGTGGCGCACATCTTTAATCCTAGAACTTGGGAGGCAGAGGCAGGTGGATCTCTTGAGTTCAAGGCCAGCCTGGTCTACAAAGCGAGTTCCAGGAGGGCCAGAGCTACCTAGAGAATCCCTGCCTTGAAAGGAAAGACAGGAAGGAAGGAAGAGGGAAGGAAAGAAAAGAAGGGAGAGGGAGGGAAGGAGGGAGGGAGGGAGAGAGAGAAAGAGAGAAAGAAAAGCTACATGGATAGGGATGTGGTAGCACACACCAATACACCATGAAGCTCAGTATTTGGGAGGTAGAGACAGGAGTTCAAAGTCACCCTTAGCTACATAAAGAGTTTGAGGCCAGCCAGGACTACATGAGATATGTCTATAAAACAAAATACAACATTATTTTGTACTCTAACTTAAAATATATAGAAATAAAGTAATTAAGTAACAAGAAAGAAACGAAAGCTATTTCCATCTAGGCCACCTTAGCTCTACCCATGGAAGGACGGGCTGAGGCAGCCAAGCTTCCAGCCCAGCCCAGCCCAGCCACCTCTCCTGTCCCCACAGGCACCGTCACCCCTCCTCTGAGGCTAGCTCCATGGCAACTGGCACTCTGGCTGAAGGTAGGGAAGTCAAAAGCACCTGTGGTGAATTCAGCGGGCTTCTTGAAGCGGGTCAGGAAGACATGGCAGAGGATGTAGAGTGTCGCAAACAGAAGTATCGAGATCTGTGGCAAAAGACAACCTGGAATGAGAACTTCTATAGTTTCCAGCACATTCCACAGCCCCAAGGGCCTCAGTATAAAGCTCCATACATCCGGGGATTCTACAATTCTCACAGATGCCTTCCTTCTAGATAAGAACCAAACAGAGGATGTCCCAAGTCCCTGGGGAAACAGTGCCAACCCAGCCCCAGTACTCTGCTGGAGCGACAAGCTTCAACCGTATCTTTAGAGGGGACAGAGACACTCCTAGAAATGCATATACTCATGCACACCCCATACCCTAAATCAGGCCATAGAACAAGAGAGACTGACTATACTTTGAGACTATCTGGGAAAGTAACAGGCTTGAGGAGAGGTGTGTGCATTGTCTTGGTATGGCCTCAAGGGAGAGGATACTCCATGAACTACTATGTGAGAATCGCGTCTCTAGACCACATCAGAACTTCTACTGTTTCCTCAGGGCCTGAAACATCAGGTCTGCTCTGTGCTAAACTAGAGCCCGTTTAATTATCATTTAGCCTGAGATGTCAGGCCCAACATTTCCAGAGCTGGTTTTCTGCCACTTTAGTCAGTCCTCAGACCCTACCACAAGTGACGTCCAACTTCAGGGCCCCCTACCCACGGCCCTGAGTGGTTAGACCTCCAATTGACAGGACAGATAATTAGTGTGTGGGTTACATCTCTACACTACCTCAAAGCCGGAGAATGCAAAAAAAAAAAAAAAAAAAAAAAAAAATGTCATTGCAGCTGAGGTAGGCAAAGGCAAGATCAGCCTCATGTGTCTTCTAGTCCCCAAGAGGAACCGACCCTATAGGAAATCTGTACAGTGACAAGGAGAAAAGAACCAAGGAAGTCCTGTACCTAGAACAGAGCTGGAGCTTTTGACTCAGGGAAGCCCACAAGACTGTAACTGCATTTTTACAGCCAAGTGCTCTGCCTTATTCCTCCCTGAACTTGCGTAATAGCCAAGGAGGCAGAAGGGCTCAAAAGGTCAGGCGTGGGGTTCCACCCAATCCCAGTAGATAGAGGAAAGGCTGGTGCTGTCTCTCTCTCTTTCCTCTCTCTCTCTCCCTCCTTCCCGGGTTCCTCTGTGTAGCCCTGGCTGTCCTAGAACTCACTCTGTAAATCAGGCTGGCCTCGAACTCAGAGATCAACCCTGCCTCTGCCTCCTGAGTGCTAGGATTAAAGGCGTGCACCACCACCACCTCCACCTGGCCTAGGTTCTCTAACTTCTAGATGGGAGCCATGTGGAGGAGGTAGCAGAAACCTTCAGCTGCCCTTGGCTGGTGCCGATGTCCTAAGCTAATGCTTTAGAAGGCAGCAACATACGAGCAGTTTCTGAGGGCTCATCCCTCCAGGTTGTCAGCCCCTATACAGCATCTCAAGGCCTAGATGTGCCTTCGTGATATGTCCCAATGAGTACCTCTCTACCAAGGAACACACCAGGGATGCTACTTGATTCTTACAACTCACAGGCCATACACTTGTACTTTCTAGCCCTCACTGATAAGGCAGACCTAGGTATATCCTGTTTCCCTCTACCTTCTCTTCAATCTAAGCATGCCTAGGGGTAGCCTAAAGCTCAGCCTGAGAAAAATGAAGGATGACTCCATCTGTGTCTCCCCTCAATTTAGTAAGACTTCTTTTCATTCCTCCAGACCCTTCTCTTTTCATTTAATACGTGCAGAGCTCTGTGGGAGAAACAGCCGACAGAGAGATGATCCAAGGAAAATATGTTTCCCTCGGTTCCACTGGATGTTGCTATCCTGGAGCAGTATACCACTGTGCCTTGGAAGGTTCAGCTGCAATTACGGACTACCCCGAAGGAGTAAGAAGAATCCACTAGATGTGCTCAGGACTACTGCGGACCCCCTCACAGAAGAACCCCCTGAATGGCCAGAAAGCTGGACACCCAGTCTTCCAGAGTGTCAAACCAATGACCAGGAAGTGTTGCGGGGTGTGCGTCACTGTGTTGGCTTGTGTTTGGCATGCTGCACGCCAGAGGCCCAGGGTTCAATCACAACACAAATGAAAACAAACCATCATCCCAGAAGGGGAGAGAAAACAGGCGCCGCCGAGACTCCGGGGTTTCCCCATCTCCCTATCTGACAAACCCACCCCGGACGGGATAACTTTCCTCCTCAGTGGGAGGAGGACCCGCGGCATGCCTACTCTGCTTCCCTCGCGCCACCAGAGCAGGTCCCTCGTTAACTGCTCAATGTGACCGGGTCTCCGCTCCAGCACCAGCTACGATCGATCGCCCTCCATCTACTTTCAAGGGGAACACGCACATCATCAACTTGTCCCGAAGCAAACCCATCCTTTTCCAGAAGATCGGACTCTTCCCCGCAGGAGGACCCACCGCCAGGAACGCCCACCGGGGTGGAGTAGAAGGGGGCGGGGGGAGGGGCGAGCAGCGGAGGAACGGAAACCCTGCGGCTTTGTTTACGGCTCAGGGACCCGGCAGACCCGACTCCGGAGTTCGCCATCCCGGCCCCGGGCCCTCTCGGGGACCCAGGGGCTGGGAGCCCAGGCAGCAGGACTTCCTGTCCCCGACGCGGCCCGCCCGGCCCCTCCCACCTCGGCCCGGCCCCTTCCCGCCCCGGTCCCGCACTCACGATGCACTCGCGGACCCTGTCGTGGAACAGCTGCTCTCGCACGGATAGCACTTCGTAGTCAGCTGCTTCCATACTCTGCTCAGCATGACTGGGGCGGGGGTGTCTCCGGGCCCGGGGAGGACGAGCGGGGATGAGGCCGCCGCCGCCGCCGCCGCCCGCCAAGCACCCGGACCCAGCCGAGGAGCCGCTCCTCGCTGCCCGTGACGGAAACTCAAGGTAATCTGGGGATCGTTTTCAGCCGTCGGACGCCCCGCCCTTAAAGGGGCAGGTCCCAGCCCGCCTGGTCTTAAAGGGCTCTGGTCCCCCCGCTGCCCCCTCCCCTTTAAGGCGGGGCCACTCACAGTCACGTTTCAACGCAAGTACCGGCCGCCCAGCTACGCGGAAGCGCCCGGCTCGGTGCGAGCCTTTTAAGAGGCCCGGTGACGACACAAGGCATGGGCGGGTTTCTTCCAAAGAGCGGAACTGATTGGCTCCTCGTCGGCCGTCGCTCATCGCGAGGGGTGCGCTGATAGGATATTCTGGGAAGGGAGGTGGGATATTTTTGACCTGTCGAAGCTGTTCCAAAACTTAAGAATCCACTTGATCCGCGGGTGAGATGGGCTGGTTCCGGGATACTAGTGAGTGTCAGCCGCGATTTTAGTTTAAATGAATGGTTTGCATCCGGACAACCAGTCTAGATGTAAGAGCACCACCGAGCTTTGAGAAAGAGCCGCTGCCCTGGCACCCGTCAAGGGCCTATAGCTTTTTCTCGAGGTGCGTTTGCATTGGAGTCCCCCCAACCACTCCTGAAAGCTTTCACTCAGTCATTTGTATGGAAGGCCTAGGGTATCAGAGGACACATAGTAAAAGCAAAACAAAGACTGGATGGGGAAGCCTTTCATCCCAGGAGGCAGAGACAGGTGGATCCCTGAGTTCAAGCCACCCTGGTCTACAGAGTGAGTTCCAGGGCAGCCAGGGCTACACAGAAAAGTCCTGTCTCGAAAACAAACCAAAATTAAAAAAAAAAAACGGATAGGAGACTACAGAAAAATGTCACAAAACTTTTGTTTTGTTGAGACAGGTCTTGCTATGCAAACCAGGCTATCCTTGAATTCTCAGCGATCTTCCTCAGCCTCCCAGTTGATTGCTAGATGATAGGCATGTTCTACCAGGCCCGGGGTTTTCCTGAAACCCTGTGAGGAAATGTCCACAGGGAATACTGGTGAGCGGATTGAGCCAAACATTAACTAACTACCAAACATTAACTACCTACCTGCTATGTGCCGTTCTCTTTATAGCCTTTATCTGATTTTAACATCATAGCAAGAGTTTGAGACTAGAAAAGAAAGGTTGTCACGGTCCTACTTAAGACTTAGATTATAGCTGGGCATTGTGACAGATGCCTTGAATTCCAGCAATAGGAAGGCAGAAGCAACTGGATCTCTAAACTCAAGGCCAGCCTGGTCTACATATCCAATTCCAGGCCAACCAGAGTAACATGATGAGAATCTATCTCAAAAAGCAAAAAATATATGCAGATATATGCGTGTATCTGTGTGTGTAGCAACAGTTCATGTTGGACTATCTTTGGATTGCCAGATAACAACATGGAAACTTATTAATTATGAAAACTTGGCCTTAGCTTAGGCTTTTCTCCAACTC